GCCAAGCCCTTTGGCAAATACATTATGAACACAACGCCATTTTTCAAGGGTAGAATAAAACTGAGGACCAAATCAAAGACACACTGATCTACTTATTTTAAGTCAGATTCAAATGATTCCCAGGTTGTTACACAAGCTCGCTATCCTTTCATGAACTGCATATTGTTTTGGAGTAATCACTTCAGAAAAAACACTAAATCCCTTTTCAGACAAGGCAAAAATAAAAGATCCTTATCAAACACTACTCAAAAACCCTTACGTGGATCTGACTTCGTACATGACAGAGGTGCAAAAGAATACCAAATACTGAATACAAATTCTACAAAAGTAGCTGGGAAAAGAAAAAACAAAAACAAAACACTTACCGTGGCCAAATATACTTTTTAAGTCTTCTTTTGTAAAGTCTAAAGATATTGGATTGGTCCATTCTTGCACCTGAATGCCCAGATCTTTCACTAATATCTGTATAGTTGCAGTCTTTCCGCAACCAGACGGACCAGTTAACAGCAAAACAGAGCCACCCTGTAACAGAAAAAAAATCCCAAGCACAATAAATAAAGACTACAGGTTAACTGAAGGCAAATATTTCCTTGAATTTCTTCTGTACGTTCTGTGACAGTGATTTTCTTTCCAAATAAAAGAAAATGACTTAAATAATTTGTGTTAGTAATTCACCTGTTGAGTACTCAGAGAGAGAGAGCTAGATCAGAACGCTGAAATCCTTGCTTCCAGTTTTTTAATCTATGTGTTTAGGTAATTGCCCATTGTTCAGACTACCAATATAATATGTACTGGACTCAAGAAACAGGTCTAAAAAACACAGGTTGAGACTGTTAAATGATACATTTGTAGAAGAATGCCTCTTACCATTCAAGAAGTTAAAAACACCCTATTACATCAAGTCAGTGTAACTGGAAATTTGCCAAGCTACTTAATCTCTGGGAGGTAAAATTCAGTTATTATAAGCACACACTGAGCAGGTAAGCATTGACTTGATGCTAGACAGTAATACTGCTGAGCAAAGAACAGAATCCAGCTCTGCTGCTCTTAGCAGTATGAGTTCTAAAGAAATGTAAAGCTCTCATCTATGTTCTTAAGAGATTTCTTATACTGCTAGACATATAATCACTAACTACAAGTTAAGGGTTTTTCTGAAATTAAAATAAAATTCAATCCAGCTTGTTATATGTTGTTTTACACCTCTATCTGCTAATTTTAGCAAGATTACCTGCTTTGATTGTCTCTGAAATATGTGCTTTTTTAGCCAGGCTTCAACTTCTTCAATTTTCTTCTTATGCACAGCAAGGTCATTCTAAAACCAGATGAAAATACATGAAGTGCATACGCACATATACACACCTCTTGGTTTCTAAGACTATAACGTTAAGATTCAAGAACAGAACACATACTGACTGAAACGTTAACAGATATGCCTTTATGCTCTTTCAGGAGTAAGTGTAACAGCTACACATAATCATTACAGCCTGTTTTCTCAAACCACCAATTTTCCACAGCCTGCAGGAGGGAAATAACAAACACTTCACCATTCCTAAAGTAGCAACAATATAAGCCTGTTTGATTTTATTTGTATGCTCTATAGCTCTTGCTGGAGCTTGTACTTTTTAAGGCCATACCAACTCTAATACTACATAGATTTTTGGAGCTTCTGTAAATTGTATGCAGCTTACTTGTGTTTTAGATTTAATTTTTAATAGTTCATCTCTGGAAAGGAACTGAGTTACAAGGCTAGAATACAAGTTACTACACTACACTAGCTTACTCAAATCACTAAGCACTCAACTCTACGAGACACTCAGCATGTGTTGACGTGTTTGAAACACAAGGTGCATGAGCTGCTCCATGAGTAGAACCAGTGAAATCAAGTTTACCATGGATTTGAATTCTTTCTCCTTTAAGCCCTAAGGTACCACAGTAACCTCAACCCATATTGCGGTGCCTAAGATGGCACTGAAATAGGGAAGAGATAGCACACACTGCAACTAGTCCAGTATCCTGTGTGTGCTAAGAACCCAGTTAGCTGCTGCCAAATAACATGCAAGGTAATTCCTGTTGTCTTTCCCTGTTGACCCCACTAACCGGACTCTCTCTCTCTCTCTCTCCTCTATTTGGCTGTGGATTTTCACATACTTGCAGCTGTCAGATTTGGCTGAAATTTGACAATGGGTTCAAAAGTTTAGGAGTGCACGGACAGGAAGCAAGATCTCAGTAGCTTTATTTCCTCAGAAAGCCTGGGTAAAAGTACATCTTCTATAAATAGGTAGCTCATTAAAAGCTTCACTACAGGCAGCAGATAAGTCAAACTAATACTTCACTGGTCTAATAAAATAGAATATATTTATAAACAGAGTAAGACAGAATACGAAGGGAAGAACAACATGTTTATGTTACACTGGAATGTCACTGTTACATTAACACTTTAGAATAGTTCTCATACCTGAGTTTCAGGTTTGTATTTATCTACCCATGGCTCATCGTGAGCTTGGCTTTGATTTTGTCTGGATTGGCTACAAGATAAGTCTACTGAGGATGACTTTGCCCTTTTTCTGGGCAGAACCTTGTCCTTGCTACTTCCTGGCAAAGATGATAGGTCTTTCTTCTTCTGGGGCCGCTTTCTTCTAGTGCTCCCTTCTACTGCGTTCACAGGAACTGTGCTGGAAGAAATATTTGTGTTTCCAAAGAAGTCATCAAATGAATGTGGCAACCAACCTGTTACCTGGCAAAAAACAAGCACCTTGCTGTTAATGTAGCACTCTCCTCCCCTTTTTAAATTGGGTACATTTGTCTATGGAAAATTTGAGCTTTGTTTCATGAGTGTACCAAGAATATCTTGCAGGTGGTTTTCATTTACATTAGTCATTCACGTTATAATGACAGAACGTCACTAATATTAAGAAACTGTTTAACTTGCCGCGTTCATAGTTAGCAACAAATGCTGGCACTTATTACTCTTTTTGAATCTCTGAATTACAAGCTCTTTAAGCATTAAAAAAGGTTACTAAGCTTTTTAAGCATTAAAAAAGGTTACTATTTCTAGTCTTGTGACTAGATATTTTGCAGCAAATTTGGCAAACAAGAACATGTTGAAAATTGAAACATATTCAAATTAAAGGAGTAAAATTAAAACTGAGTTGAGAGTGAAAAAACAGACTGAGCTCTTTTATATCCTTTTTATGTTATGGTCAAGTTTGCATTATCTCTGCATTGTTTTTCAGTACACCTTCTTTGCATTTAAAAGGTAGGCATTTGCATTTGAAAAGTTAGAAATAGGTGACAGGGAAAAAATGATTTAGGCAGCACAGTAAAATCAAATACTAGTATTTGTTTGCTATGTGAGGAACTATGGACTAATCTAGAATTGGAAACTATAACACGTATCAGAAGTCTGCCTGACAGTGAAAAGTAATGAAACTGCTAATAGGGCCGATATTTGTTTTTGGATTTGAGAAACAGTCTGCTATGACAGATGTATAAACTCACACCCCAGAGCCACTTTTCAGGCTACCTGTGGTGGGCGCAGTAGTCCAAGCACTGTTTGCTCATAACAGCCACATGGGATGCTGTTGGAGGAGGCACTATAACGGGTCACATTCTGAAACGGACTTTATGCAAACGGCTGAAACTGTGCAGCTACAGAATGCACATCTGTGTCATCTCCAAAAAGGTCTACGGCTACACTACGGCTTATATAACTTTTAAGTTAATACAAAATATCATTAGCAGATACAGCCTGACTGTGACAGGCATCAGCAACTGGCAAAGATTTGCGTTTGCAGTTAGCTGTTAGTGTTATTCAAACTGAAACTATTTTTAGTTTAATTTGCATATTTACCGGCAAAGCTGATACCACTATGTGAGGGGTTTTTTTCCTTTTGCATAAATTGCATCAGTAAGTAAAAATAAACATCTCGTACGCAGAAAAAGGGGACGGAGGAAACTCCACACGGCCCCACCGCCCCCG